GAGCCCCCAGGGGCGAGGAGAGGACAGTGTGGGACAGGAAGTGGCCTCAGCACGCCAGCAGCTTCCCTAGAGTTATTTGTAGACGGTGCAAAAGGCCAGAGGGGGAGAGCACGGGGTGGTTTGCTAGCTCTGGGGGGAATGTCTCCGCACTGGGTTTGCCACAGAGAAGGGCACAAAAGAACCTGCTGGAAAGCCCGCACCAGGCTGGCACCCTGCCCTCACTCCAGGTGGGAGTCACCCTCACCGAAGCGAGCAATCAGTAGCCTACAGCAGTTGGAAGAAGACAACAAGTAGCTTCTGTTTGATGTGATAAGGAAGGAGCAGAGGGTGACATGGTGAATGTGGCACTCCAAGGAAATGGTCCTGCCAGAGCACTCAGAACGCCTCTAGGCATCAACTTTGTCAAGGCTGCTTCAGGGATGCCGCAGCAGGCAAGAGCAGGAGCTGTTGTGGGCAGTGGACACAAGTGCTCGCTCTGGGTGGTTGTACTCTGTTGTTCTCTCAGTGATGCTCACAGTCCGCAACATCCTTCCATTGTTAATTCAGTGACAGCAACTTTCCGTGCAGAACCAATAATTAGCTGATTTTACATTAATAGATAATACATAATTAAGAGATTCTACATCACCACTTGGCTGCCTGCACAGTCACATTAATTTTTAAACAAATAGTCAGTCAGAGAGCCTACAAATGCAAGGGCTGCATTCTTTGTTGAGGAAAGCAGGTGCTGTTCCTCTGAACAGAGTGAAGTGACAGCCATAAACAATGGGGTGGGATTTGATGTACTATGTGTGAAGCCTGGGCTGTGCATCAGATGTGGGTTTTTGCCCTTGCCGGTGGCTGTACCTTTCCCCGTGTATTTGTTCATTCTTTGTGTTTGTATCTAGATCCAGAGTGGGCTTCTTACAAACTTGGAATATTCATTTGTTTGAATTGCTCTGGAATCCATCGCAATCTTCCTCAAATCAGCAGGGTCAAATCCCTTCGGCTTGACTTCTGGGAGAACGATCTTTTAGAGGTACAAAGGAAAAAGCAGTAATTCACTTACCTTTCTCCACATTTCATCATAGCCTCCTCTGCCTATGTCGTCCACCACAGACAGAGGAACAAAGCCACACAGAGCCAAGTTAACTCCATAGGTAACTTTAGGGTTTTTTTTTTAAGGATCTACTCAATCAAATTACACTAATAGGTGATCATGTTTCTAACAGCCTGTGGTGTATTTTTTTATAGCACACAGTAACTCCTCATTACGATTTAGAACCCCGCAGATATTTCCAGATAGTATGTTGTATTCAGTAATCAACATACCCTTCTTAAATGTTGGTTCAGCTTCTCTTCTTTCAATTGAATTGTGTTAATAATATAATCACAGTTAATGTCTAGGGGGAGATGAAGGTATAGGGAGATCGTAAATATCTCTTCACCTCATTTTCTTCTGTTCTTTAAATCAACAACCACAATCTGGTGTTCCTTCCCATCTGGTTCAGAACTGTAAATACTGAAAAAGGCTCAACCATCTAAAAAGTGCAAACTATAGTGCCAAAGGGAATTTATAAACATATGTAGAGATGCACTGAGAGTTGTGGCAAGACTGAGCAAAAAGTGCAGTGCTTCCTTTGATACAAATTTCATTTTATGTTCATGACATGGCATTGATTTTGTAGTTGCACACTGAACTGTAACTTCTTTTGTATTTCAGTTTATGAAGAAGCATGGGAATCTCTGTGCCAAAGCTAAATATGAGGCTAAAGTCCCTGCCTACTATTACATCCCTCAGTCCTGTGATTGCATGTAAGTTGATGGTGTATTCACTGCTGCAGACCTTTACAGCTGTAGAACTACTGCTTCCCTCTACAGGTCTCATTCGTTGGCTGGTGAAAATAGAGTAGAGGCAGATCAGCTTCATCCATGTTTTCCTCTTTCAGGGTTTTAAGAGAGCAATGGATTAGAGCTAAATATGAGCGTGAGGAATTTGTTGCCACCCGAGTCTGCCAAGATCCTTGTTCTGCAGGTAAAAGTTAGGATTGTCAGGGAAAAGGTGTTAGCCTTAAGCCCAATAGCACAGTGTTATGTTTGCAACTGTGAAGATCTTCAAAGCTGGCTTGTCATATTTGAACTGTTGGATGTGCAGGCCTTGCTTTGAGTCTAACTTTGAGAAGAAGCTCTTAAGAAAAGGCACTTAGACAAGTGCAAGGGTGTATTCAGATCTTACAGTTCTCTAGTTCTCCACTGATTTTTTTGTATGAGGTGAAAATTCTCAGATGGAGACAAGACTTGAAGCGCTGTGCCACGTCACCATTTAGATAAACAGTCCTGCTGTTGTGCTGCCCTTCTCTGACACTTATCTTGGTCTGGTCTGCAGGTAGCCGTGAAGGATTTCTCTGGAAGCGTGGGCGGGAAAGCAGACAGTTCCAGAAGAGGCGATTTCTCCTATCAGCAAGGGAAGGGGTGATGAAGTACTACACCAAAGAAGTGAGTTCCTCAGCCAGAGTTGGCCTTAGGTACCTGGTCAACGTCCATCCTCAGACCGTGCTCTTCATCAGCAAAAACCAGCATAAATAGCTTTGTCTCTAGTTTTGCAGCCAGGCCAGCCTGTGTTTGGAGCAGCCCAGATGTTTTGCCATTAACATATGTGGCATCTTGGGCAATTGCTCCTTTGGATTTAGCCCTTTTCCTCATTCCTTATCTTAACCCTGCAGCCTCCTTTTGCTTAGTGAACAAAGGAAATGGATACTGGCAGTTGAATAGCAAGATGAAGAAGAGATCTGTTAGCAGCTGTTACCTCTTATATTACCAAAATACTCTCTCATCAACTGTTGCAGCAGCATCCTCAACATGTCTCCCTTCTGTGGGAGACTGTAGCTAATTGTTCTCCAACTATGAGGCTGGAGATAGAACCCATCCCTTGCAATTAAGACACATGCCTCTCAAATAGCGACCCAGTGTTTGTTAAGGAAAGGGAGTCACTCTTTGTAAGTAATTTTATGTAGCATGTAAGTAAGGCTTTATATTTCAGGTATATCCAATATTCAGATATTTTAGGATGCTTGCTTTCTCTTCAGTAGGGATCTAGTCCTCATACAGCTAATCTGTCCTCCATTACCTTCCGTGAGGGCACTTTAATACAGTGATGCTTTTCATTTCACAGTCCAGAGGTCCGAAAGCCATTATCAGCATTGAGAATCTGAATGCAATGTTCCAGACAGAGAAAATCCAACATGCTCATGGGCTGCAGATCACATACAACACAGATGGTCAAACAAGGAACCTTTTTGTCTATCACGAAAGCGGAAAGGTAAATACCACAGAGATTTTGGAATAAGCAAGATGCTTAGATGTTGGATCTATACTTTGGAAGAAATACCCTGTTTCTGCAGGATCTGGTTTTGTTTGAAGCCACTATGACTTGCAGAATTTGACACTAATAACTATAACATCTTGTTCCTGTTCTGCTGGGGCAGATATTCAGCTTCACACCCTGAATAGTTAAGGCCTCAGTGGGGCACATATGTAAATCTCTGTAAGGTAATGGCCCAACACTTCTGTACAATTCTGTGGTTTTATTCTTTGAAGCCTTCTTGACATGCATAGAAAATACTGTTGTTCTACATTATTTCCAAGCAAACAATGATAATTTTAAGAAGTAAGTCTACGGGTTTTGTTAGATTTCTGTTTCTTCCCTTGCCATAGTTCTCATGTCTTTCCAGGTACAAAGGTTTTTAAACAATCCATAACTGAATCAACTGAAGAAGCCTGAGTACGTAGACTTAGGTGACTGTCCATCCTGAGAATGTCTGGGACCTCCCTGGAGCAGCATGTTTAAATTATTTTGGAGGCTCAGACTTGTCTGGGACAAGTCACAGACTCTCTCTGCCCTTTGGGGAGAAAGTACATCTTTACAAAGAGCTCACAAGGAAGAAGAAAGGCATTTTGGAGAGGCAGCACTCTTACTCGTTCTAATTCTTGTCTTTATGTTTGTATTTGCTGTTTTCCCTAGGAGATTGTTGAATGGTTCAATGCCATTCGGGCAGCACGTTACCATTATCTCAGAACAACCTTCCCAACTGTCCCAGAGCCTGAGGTGAGAACTGAACACGGCTTGAAACAGTCTATGCAAACATAGCATGGGAAAACATTTTCTCATTTCTTCTGCCAGAGTCACGTGCTCAAACAGCAGCATGTGGGACTTGGGAATGGACAGAAGGGGTAGAAGGAAAGGCCACACTGGATAACATGCAAAAATGTAGTCAACATTTAAGGTCTAAAAGTCTCCATGTGGTCCTTATAAAGTGTAATCTTTCAAAAACCTTATGTTCCTTATTATGTCAGACTTCCCTTTACTGAGCAGCCAAAAAAAAACCCCCAGGTGCCAGAATTGATGGTGATTAGCTTTGGCAGAAACAGAACAGAAAAGCAAGCTTGAATGAGACAGACTTTTTTTTGTGTGTGTATGTGTTTGTGTTCTCCTAGCTCATACCCAGGATCACAAGAAATTATGTCAAAGAAGGATATATGGAGAAAACAGGACCAAAAGTAAGTGCATACTTGGCGGTACACAAACAGGATTAATTGCAGATGGAGTATATTTGGTAATTCTGTGATGTTTACTAGTAAACAATTTGTTGAGTGACTGTATGCTTCCTGGGCTGATAAAAGACATTATATTCAAGCCTGTTGTGTTCTTTGGGATTGTGTTTTATTTTGTGTGGAAAACAAGACTTGGAAGAAGAATCCTTCTTGAAGAGTAAGCAAGATGGATAAGCTGGCAGTGGACATGCAAAGTCTTGTTATGCAACACTAAATGGACTGCTGTATCTGCCAACTGCAGCTCTAGAACTGCAGTTCCTTTAGAGCAGAACATCACATGCTGACTTCCCTACTTCCCTGTTTCTCTTAAAGTCAGTGGCACATAAGTCACATCTACTTAGACCAGCAAAGTGTTACTGAGGAAATTCTCCACACTGAAGTCTATGATTCGGTTTGTTTTTTTGTGGAAAAGTATTTGCTCCATTACTCCTTGTATAGGAGAAGGAGATTTCAGTCTCTGGTGAAGGAAGAGATAAAGATCTGAGGTCTTGTTTGAACATTGCCACTTCTTGCCTTGCTCTCTGAGTGAACCATGAGCCAAAGTCCCATGAAAAAAGTTCAGTAGTGAAATGTTGATATTGAATATGCTGGGGTTTGTCCCAGCTCAGTGCTAGTGTCCACTACATCTTCCTGCAGGTACTTGCACAGAGAATAAGAAAGATTAAAGATTATGTGTTTTTTTCCAGAGGCCTAAATTCTGCTCAAACTGAAGTGAGCCCTAGAAGAAGGCCCTTCAGTTCGGCACTGAGCAATGAATAGCTCAGGGAATGGTCAGATGAGTGTAGTTGATGAAATTAGCACTTTTTAAAAAAACCTACCATTTGTCCCTGCCATTGTGCATCCCACAATGCTAGGGACAACCCCCCAAACCAACATGCTGAAATTGATTGCACGCTCTCGTCATTATCGCCACTGGCCCAGGGATCATGCTCTGCATCGCTTTCAATTAATCCATTTACTACAACTTCCTTAATCCTGGTAATTTGATCACTGGTAGAACCAAACTTCCCTGCCTTCCCCAAAGGATTGTCACTGAATGCAAGTCTGCAGTGTGGACCAACTAGAGAGGAAGAAGGGAGCTGAGGGCTGCACGCAGCAGTGACTCACCTGATACCAGTTATGGGGATGAATGAAACTGAATGCAAGCTCTGAGTCATTTAAGCAGTCCAGGGATCTGCCGTGAATAGGCTGAACTCCCCTTTGGGACTTGGTCTTTAAAGAACTTCTACCATCTCCTTGCAGCAGAAGGAGGCCTTTAAGGAGCGCTGGTTCTGCCTGGATTCTCAAGAAAGGAACCTGATGTATTTTAAAAAACCGCTGGTAAGAGGAGTGTTCTTTGCTATTCCACAAGCCTGTTGATGAAGTTGGGTGGGGAGGAAGGGTCTGTTCTCATCCAGCTTTTCCAGTGGCTGTGCAAAGCTGAAGCAGGCTCCGCCTCAAGAGGTCATCTCCCTTGTCAATGGATCTCTTTGAGATGTTTGGGAACTCTGGTGGCTGTGAGGAAGATCTAAGTCTTTTAAAAGTAGCTGCTACTGCTTGTAGCATTTATAGCCCACTCTCTCCCAGCCCTAATGCCATTGTACCTGTAACCTTAGGCAAGATGGGCAATGTCCCAATAACACAGGCTTGGCAGCCCCAATGTCCTGTTTCCTAGCACTGCTCTAGCCACAAGAATATCCTTCCTTGCTCCTTCTGAACACCCAACACCAACCAGCTCTGTAAGGGTGGGTCCCTGCTTCCTTGTGAGAATGCTTGTGTGTGTAAAAAAAATGCTCTGGTGTGTTTCCTGCTGCCTGTCACCAAATCAGTGTCCCCTTCACGCATCCCCAGTTCCTGCTCCATGTCAAAGGATAGAACAGCATCTCCTGGAGCTGCGCTATCCACTGGCTAATGGTTGTTTTCTGCTTCCTTCTTTCTAGGATGCGTTTGCACAAGGCCAGGTTTTTATTGGAAGGATGGATGAAGGATATGAAGTACGAGCTGGCTTGCCCCAGGGAGTCCATGTGAAGAAGGGGAAACCAGCGATCACTGTGGTCACACCAATGAGAGAGTTTGTGTTTATATGTGAGAACGATAGGGAGCAGAGGGAGTGGATAGACGCCATAAACAGAGTCATTGCCAAGCCTTTGACTGGTGAAGATTAGCACTGAGTTCTGATGAACTGTACTTCTTGGGCTCTGTTCAGCGCTGCTCTGTGGCCTCTTTCTGTTGGCAAGGATGGCACTTGAGGCCCTGCAGTGACTCTACTACAAAGGGCTTCTTCCTTCAACAGCCACGGGCACAGGAAGGGTGCCAACAGAGAAATAAGAGGGAGTGCAGATATTCAGAAATTATCTGTGCCCCTGCAGAACAGTGCTTGAAGTGCCTTCTCTCTTCCTACCCTTCTCTGCTTTGGAGCAGAGGAGGCCTTCCCAGCCTGATGTAGGGATGAATCGTCCACTGTTGTCTTATGGAAAAAAACCAAAGCCAATGGAGAAAGTCTGACCCCAGAAGGGCAGTCATGCATTTCCTTGGGGACTCCTGCAGGTGCTGTTTTATCAGATCCTCCTTTTCTTGCCTTTGTCTGCTGTCGGAAGGACTCCTGTACATCCCAAAGGATGTACTTGACAATGCAGCTGGTTGCATGTATCCTGCCAGGGGCCATCTGTTGCATGAGTACGTAGGGACACTGACCGAGAGGCAAAGATACTGTCACCTATCAGGAAGACGCAGAATTTTCTGTTGGATAGATCTGAGGTACTAATTCATGCTGGAGTCACTGGATGCCCTTCTCAGGGAGGAGCAGAGTCAGGCAGCTACACTGCTGGCTGCAGCTCCTGTCCACATAGGGACGTGGTGGTTTTCAATAGAGTGGCTTTAATGTCTTTTACAGTGTTACATTTCTGGCACAGTAAAGAATGAAAATCAAATATGAATTGCGGAGGACACTGTAATGGAATCACTTTAATGACAAATACTGCTAGCTCCTTGCTTTCAACAGTCTCTGCTGTTTGATTTTTTTTTTTATGAGTGGGAATTCCAACATCCGAAGATCAAGTTTTTCCAGAGCAAGCCCACATAGTGCCCCAGCAAACACACCATGAGTACAGGATGAACATACGCTGATCCATCTCACCTCCTAAAAAATAGCTGAAGCTTAATGAGCTTGATTAGTCTGAGCATTAAAAGGCAGAAACTAGTTTTAAAAGTGTTATCTTCAGTGACTTGCTTGAAGACACTCAATGAACAAGGAGCAGTGCTGGAATTGGCGGGTGAGTCCCTCCCGATCAGGTACCACTTTTATCCATTCTGTGCAGCAATTGGTGAAGATTTGCATCGGGTGATACAGTGCACTGAGTATTTTCTTGCCTCAAGAACAAGTCTGAGATTTGGTTCTACCAAGCAGCCAGTCATTCAGATATTCAGTTATTGTTTTCAGATAGCCTTAGTCCTTAGTTTGCAAATCAAGAGGAAGTCTTGCAGACTAAGTTTCTGGTGAGGCTTCTACCTTTTGCTGACAATTGCCAGCCAGTCTGAAATACCCAGAATAGTTCTCTTCTACAGAAATGAGGAAGTACCAATACTTCCATGGGTTAGTGAGATTAACTTCCCCCCACACACACACTAGTGCAGAAGAATTGTTTGAGTCAGATCATCGTTCTGCCTGTCTCAGCCATCCAACTCTGAGCAATCGGCAGAAGTTTCGCTTGCTGAGATGCTCCCATAAACATCCCTGTGTTCCTGCTTACTCTCCCCATGCAACCCAATTCATTCTAGCTCCCATGCTGGTTCAGCAAATCTTTTTAACAACCTAATCCTGCAGCCCTTTAAATTGATAGCAAAGCACCTTCTGACTTGTATGAGGAGCAATGCCAGTCTTTGATTGGTTTGACAAATGTTAATTGTTATTTTGACATGAGCTGGGTAACCCAGGATAACCTCAGAAGACTTCAGTTCATCCAGTAGCCTAAACTTCACATGGATGGGGCTCTGCAAGTCCCACTATGCCATGTCACTTGCTCTCCCGGATGGGTCAGGAGACCAGCCATGACGACTTGTTGCAAAACTGGGAAATTCCCTGTGAAAATGAAACCGTGCCAATAACAGCAACCTTTTCGGAGAGTCAGTAAAAGTCAAGGCCAGGTCATGGAGAGCTCTGCATCACAGTTCATTTCTACAGTTAGCCCAAACCCTCGGAGCAAGTCGTCAGCGGAGGAAGACCTGCCCCAGGGGAGCTCGGGGCCGCACGCTCGGCAGTGGGGCGCAGCCCCGTAGTTGGCCCCGGCCCGGTGCAGCGCAGCAGTCTCTCACGGAGCAGGTATCGGAGGAGAGCCCTCCGGGGCCGCGCCTTCGCCCGTCCCGGCGCTCTCCCCACTCTCCGGCA